TTTATGACATGTTTGTTTATGAGAGTGACAAGAAGATACTTGAACAAGTACATACAAGATGTGTTATCATGGTAGACTGTAGAATAGGTTTTGAAGAAACATCTGTGAAAGGTTAAATGTAAAAACAAACAAATTTTAGGAGAAAGAGTTTTAACTGTTCAATATTGTGTGTCTTATTGTATTGAACAAAAAGGAATGATCCACATATTCCTTTCAGGGATTATGGCATGAGCTAGGTTCAAGGACGAAACTAGGAAGGTCCTCAGTAATAACTAATAGAGTCAGCCACTCTTTAGTGAATACTAGAGTATGCTGGGAATTTCAAGCAAATGTACAAAGCAGTGTAATGTCTTCAAAGGATTTACCAGTTAGAGGAGGGGGAAAAACACCTATTTCATTTGCAAAAAGAAATTTATGAAGAGAATTTTGTTTTAAAAATCGGTAGATTCTGAAGAGGTCTACAAAGTATCTACCCAGGCTATTAGAAACCTTGGGTTTTAATGATAGCAAAATGCCTCCAATGGTATCCTGACAGATCTACCTAGTAAAGAATAAAGAAGAGTTGACATGGAACTGTCTTCGGGAGTTGCCAACCAGGATGCCTGACTGGTTTCAAAGCTTAAAGTTCTACCCACTAAATCAAATCCCTCCCTCCACCCCGCGCCCCATTTTGGGTCTGTCTTTCCTTTCATTTTTATTCCTGTTTTGCTCTGCTCTATCTTATAGTCCATGTTAATTCAGTGAAATCACACACACAAAAATATTTGCTAACCTCTTTCTAGAATTCCATCCTAATTGAATCTCTACTCCCTCTGGCATATGACTTTATTTTAAAAGGATAGACTACAGAGATGCTAATTTTGCCAGTCATTGAAATGGTCTCTGCTTTACTGTGAATGTATTACAACATTCTAAATGCCATAGAGGACAGACACAATAACAATTATTTAGCCTTTTAATATACTTGCTTTCTTTAGTTTTATGAAGTTCCCAAACTTCCTGAATAAGGTATATAAAATAAAATAAAGGTAAAATGGTAAAAGTTGTTAAAAAAAATCAATACTATATTTTTCTTCACAAAACAGAAGAAAATGGGCATTCATTATTTGTTTTATTTCCTTTTTTAAAATTTAATTTTATTGTAAAAGTGATGTACAGAGGGGTTACAGTTACATATGTAAGGTAATGAGAGCCTTTCTTGTCAAATATTGTTACCCTCTGCCCCATATTTCTCCCATTCCCCCCCCCCCCGCCCCGTATTACCCTCTCCCAAGTTGTAAAGTTCATTTCCAACATAGTGTCCTGTGAGTATCACTGCTGCATCAGTTAACTCATTGTCTTTTGTCTCAACCATTTTGTTATTCCTTTTCCCTTCCCCAAATCAGATAAATGTATATACAAGACACAGAGTACCAAAATCAATAACAATGGCAACGGGATAAACCAAAGGGAGGGGGAAATGAAAGAAAAAAAAGTAACTTTACACAGTACATTAAAAGCAATGAAGAAATCCTCTTGTTTCCATATTTTAGAGTTCATTTCAATTAACATCAATTTATATGGTCATATGTACATAGTTATTGAGCTATTGTGATCCTCTGCTAGGACTATCCTAGACATACACTAATTATTACAAATGGGGGAACCATGGAGCCTATGTTTCTTTGGGCCTGGCTTACTTCACTTAATATGATTTTTTTTTTTGGGGGGGGGTCCGGTCGTGGGGCCTGAACTCTGGGCCTGGACGCTGTCCCTCAGCTCTTCAGCTCAAGGCTAGCGCTCCACCACTTGAGCCACAGCACCACTTCCGGCTTTTTTCCTTTTTCTTATGTGGTGCTGAGGAATCGAACCCAGGGCCTCAGGCATGCAAGGCAAGCGCTTCTACCACTGAGCCAACTTCCCAGCCCTATGATTTTTTTCTAAGTCTTTCCATTTCCTTATGAATTTGGCAAGTGGTGTCATTCTTTCTGATGGAAGCATAGAATTCAATAGAATTCCATAGATTTCTTCATCCATTTAGCTGGATTGGTTCCATATCTTAGCTGTGGTAAATAATGCTACAGTGTACATAGTTGTACTGGTGGCTTTAGTGTGGCCTTGTTTGTGTTTGTTTGGGTACATGCCTGAGAATGGGATTGCTGGATCATAGGGTTGAATCTTTATTTTGTTAAACCTTTACTCTTCTCATGTGATATTTTGCTCAATGGCATTTTTTCATGCTGCGCTGTGATCTCTCAGTTATAAGAAATATTGGTAAGATTTTTTTTAATACCAAGTGTGTGCCAATTAAGTTTGTCAACAAGCTAGAATGAATTGGTGTGTGGAAAAGACAAGATGCTATAAATTAAAATATAAGTCAAGAAAATATGTTATTTTGTTCTGATAATTTGAAAACCCAGATGTCAAAAGACTTAGTCTGTTTCTAAGAGAATGTATTAGGAATTAACTTCCATTCACTCATAGTTTTATGGTCTATATTTTTTTTCCTTCTGACAGGAGTTATAAAAAGTCACATAAAGCAATAGATCTGAGAAAATTGTCCCCACTTTTTGTTGTTGGTTTTTGGGTTATTTTATGTGAAAATACTGTACAGAGGGGTTACAATTACATGGGCAAGGTAATGAGTACATTTCTTATCAAGCATTGTAGCCTCCTCCTTTGTTTCCCCTTCCCATCCCTTCCCATCCTCCACCCGCCCCCCCACCAATGCTCTTCCCCCCACCAAAGTTGTAAAGTTCATTTTTCGACATAACAACTTGTATATCTCATTGTTGCAATGGGTCTACCTGTATCCCTATTTAAACGATTGGTTTTTCCCCTTCCCCTCCACAAATTATACCGACATCAAATACAGTGAAAGCAGGGGTTATACTGTGGGGGAGGGACATACAAAGCAACAAAGAAATCATCTTATTAATGTGTTAGAAACAATCCCATGAAAGAAAAAAAAACATTTGAATGCATATCTAAGGGTTCATTTCCCTAACATCAACTTATCTGACCTTTTCTGCTTAAATCAGATATATACTAAATATTGCAAATAAGGGAAACCATGGGACATATGTTTCTTTGGGCCTGGCTTACTTCACTTAATGTAATTTTTTCCAAGCCTTTCCATTTCCTAACAAATGGGGCAATGTCATTCTTTCTGATGGAGGCATAGAATTCCATTGTGTATATATACCACATTTTCTTGATCCATTCATCTACTGAGGGGCATCTGGGTTGGTTCCAGATCTTAGCTATGGTAAATAATGCTGCAATAAACATAGTCATGCTGGTAGCTTTAGTGTGATCTTGTTTGTGAAAATTTGGGTAAATGCCCAAAAGTGGGATTGCTGGGTCATGGGGGAACTCCATGTGGAGTCTTTAGAGGAACCTCTATACTGCTTTCCAAAGTGGTTGAACAATTTTACACTCTCACCAACAATGCAGTAGGGTTCCCTTCTATCCACATCCCCTCCAGAATCTGTTATTATTAGAGTTCTTGATTATAGCCATTCTAACTGGGGTGAGGTTGTATCTCAATGTTGTTTTGATTTGCATTTCTTTTATGGCTATGGAGGTTGAGCATTTCTTCATGTGTCTATTGGCCATCCTTCTTTCCTCTTCAGAGAAGTTTCTCTTTAAGTCTTTAGCCCACTTATTTATTGGCAATTGTTTCTTTGAAGATTTGTTGTTGGCTGTTGTATGGCTAGTGAGGATCTTCTCCCAATCCGTGGGCTTTCTATTGATCTTGCTAGCTAGGTCCTTTGGCATGCAGAAGCTCTGCAATTTCATGCAATCCTGTTTGTCCAACCTTTCTTTGATTTGTTGTGTTTCTGGGTCTCTATTAAGAAAATTTCAGCCTGTGCCAAGGAGACCTAGGGTTTCTCCTATTCCATCCTGTAATGTTTTCAGAGTGTCTGCTTTGACTTCGAGGTCTTTGATCCATTTGGAGTTGATTCTGGTGCAGGGTTATATATAAGGATCTAGCTTTAGTTTTCTACAAGTAGTTAACCAATTTTGCCAGCACCATTTACTGAAGAGGCTGTCTTTCTTCCATTCTATTTTTTTAGCTCCCTTATCGAAGATTAGATGGCTATAGGTCTGTAGTTCATTTCTGGGTTTTCAATTCTATTCCATTGGTCCTGAAGTTTGTTCTTGTGCCAGTACCAAGCTGTTTTGATTACTATGGCTTTGTAGTAGAGTTTGAAATTTGGTATTGATATTCCTCCAGCACTGTTCTTTCTGTTGAGGATCGTTCTTGCTATTCAGGGTCTTTATAGTTCCATATGAATTTTTGGATTGCCTCTTCTTTTTCCTTCACTTTTTGTTATTGTTGGTGGTCGTTGGCCTTAAACTCAGGGACTCTGTTTCTGTGCTCTTTTGCTCAAGGCTAGTGCTCTGCCACTTTGAGCCATAGTGCCATTTCTAGTTTTTGAGTGGTTAATTGGAATGAAGAGTCTCACAGACTTTTCTTCCTGGGCTGGCTTTGAACCCTGGTCTTCAGTTCTCAGCCTCCTGAATAGCTAGGATTACAGGCATGAGCCACTGACACCCAGCTGTCCCCTCTTTTTAAAAAGTAATGATATTTAGTAAAGTATTTTCCAAATGAGGTAAAATAAAGCCTTCAGTGTTTAAGAATAGCACCTTTAATGTAAACACTCCCTTGGTAATGATTTTCCCAAAAATCATTAAAAATGATGCTAGGATTTATGTTTTAATTATTAAAATAATTATCTGCTTTCATGATTCTTTACTTTAACCTAAGTTCTTACAGCACATTTTGGACTCTAACTTGCCAATTTTTTGAGCATCGCTTATTGTTATTATCCTTGTTGATGCCATCTGTCAGAAACAAAAGCAACAATGAGAATCTCAGTGAGCCGCCAAAGATTCTCTATTGCTTAATGTGCTTTTTGTAGAGACACATCTATTCTGGGGGAGAATTAATGCTGACACATCTATTCTGAGGAGAATTAATGCTGCATGTTAAAATCTTTGTTACTTCTTTGCAGATGGGGAACCCAAGGAGATTTCACCACCACCCATCCTCGGCCTGTGGTGAAAGTGAAGCTCTTCACAGAAAGCACCGGTGTTCTGGCTCTAGAGGATAAAGAGCTGGGCAGGGTGAGTTGTGTGCAGCTCTGTTTCCAGAGTAGCACAGTGCTAATTTGATACAAAGATACAGTGGATGAGGAAGCAGTAGATGAGCTTGCTGTTTATAAATTACATATAAATTCACTGTAATTTCCCATAAATCTACTCAAGACTCTAAATTACTAAGCATAATTGTGTACAAATTAGACAGTATTAAGATAGGTTTTGCAATTAGGGATACCCATGAACTTATAGTCAAAATTCCATCATTTATTTCATGCATGTGCTTTTCTGACCAAGAATGTGAATGGACATAAATTGACACATGACTGGGAAGGGAGGTGAAGGGTAAACAAAGGAGGAGGCTGCAGTGCTTGGTAAGAAATGTATGCATTATCCTGCCCATGTAATTGTAACCCCTCTGTACAGTATGTTCTCAAATAAAATAAAATAAAATTTAAAAAAATAAATAAATAAATTGACACATGAATTGAAACTTCTCGTACAACTACTTAATGATAATTTTAAAACATTTTTTTTAAATGCGAGTGGCATGAATCAACTTACCCTTCCTGATGAAAAGTTATTCTCATTTAACCTCTTTCCACTCCTTGGTTAAAAGGATCATCTTTACATAACTAATTTGTCTTCCTCTTCCTCTTCATCTTCTCTTCCTCGTCCTCCTTTTTCTATTAACTTTTTAAAAATTTTTTTTTATTGTGAAAATAAAATACAGGGGGGTTACAATTACATGGGCAAGGTAATGAGTACATTTCTTATCAAGCATTGTTGCCTCCTCCTTTGTTTCCCCTTCACATCACTTCCCATCTTCCCCCCCCCCCCCCCCGCCCATCCTGCCCCCCCCACATTCCCACACCCACTCGGCCAAAGTTGTAAAGTTCGTTTTTCAGCGTAACGACTTGTACATCTCATTGTTGCAATGGGTCCACCTATACCCCTATTTAAACAGTTGGTTTTTGCCCCTCCCCTGCACAAATTATACCAGCGTCAAATACAATGAAAGCAGGGGTTATACTGTGGGGGAGGGACATTCAAAGCAACAAAGAAATCATCTTATAAATATGTTAGAAACAATCGCAAGAAAGAAAAACATTTTAATACTTATCTTGGGGTTCATTTCACCTAACATCAACTTATCTGACCTTTTCTGCTTGTCTCAGACATATACTAGTTATTGCAAATAAGGGAAACCATGGGACCTATGTTTCTCTGGGCCTGGCTTACTTCATCTAATAGAATTTTTTCCAAGTCTTTCCTAACAAATGAGGCAATGTCATTCTTTCTGATGGAGGCATAGGAGTCCATTGTGTATATATACCACATTTTCTTGATCCATTCATCTACTGAGGGGCATCTGCATTGGTTCCATATCTTAGCTATGGTAAAGAATGCTGCAATAAACATAGTTGTGCTGGTAGCTTTAGAATGGTCTTGTTTGTGATCATTTGGGTAAATGCCCAAAAGTGGGATTGCTGGGTCATAGGGGAGTTCTATGTGGAGTCTTTTGAGGAACCTCCCTACTACTTTCCAAAGTGGTTGAACAAGTTTACACTCCCACCAACAATGCAGTAGGGTTCCCTTCTGTCCACATCCCCTCCAGCATCTGTTGTTATTAGCGTTCTTGATTTTTGCTGTTCTAACTGGGGTGAGGTGGTATCTCAATGTTGTTTTGATTTGCATTTCTTTTATGGCTAGGGATGTTGAGCATTTCTTCATGTGTCTATTGGCCATCCTTCTTTCCTCTTCAGAGAAGTTTCTCTTTAAGTCTTTAGTCCACTTATTTATTGGGCAGTTGTTTCTTTGAGGATTTGTTGTTGGGGGATTTAATTTTTTGAGTTCTAGGTATATTTTAGATATGAGACCCTCAAAACAGCTTGGTACTGGCCCAAGAACAGACTTCTGGACCAATGGAATGGAATTGAAAATCCAGAAATGAACCTACAGACCTATAGCCATCTAATCTTCAATAAGGGATCTAAAAACCTCTTCAGTAAATGGTGCTGGCAAAGCTGGTTTATCACTTGTAGAAAACTAAATCTAGATCCTTATATATAACCCTGCACCAGAATCAACTCCAAGTGTATCAAAGACCTCGGTGTCAAAGCAGACACTCTGAAAACATTACAGGATGGAATAGGAGAAACCCTAGGTCTCCTTGGCACAGGCTGAAATTTTCTTCATAGAGACCCAGAAACACAACAAATCAAAGAAAGGTTAGACCAACAGGATTGCATGACATTGCAGAGTTCTGCATGGCAAAGGACCTAACTAGCAAGATCAATAGAAAGCCCATGGGTTGGGAGAAGATCTTCACTACCCTTTTTCTATTATCTTTAAGTAATTGTACAATGGAGTTGCCATTTACCAAAGCAATTTATGAATACTAGGCATCTTGATCAATGTCACCCCTTTAAATATTCTCACCCATTCCTCCCATCCTATCCCTTTTCTTACTTTTCTTAATTTTTTAGAATATGCATTGAAGTCTTGCATAAATTCTCTGTCTCTCTGTCTCTCTGTCTCTCTCTCTGTCTCTCTCTCTGTCTCTCTCTCTTTTGCCAGTCCTCAGGCTTGAACTCAAAACATGGCAGCTGTCCCTGAGCCTCTTTTTGCTCAAGACTAACATGTGAGAAAGCAACTTCTGGCTTTTTCTGAATAGTTTATTAGGGATAAGAATCTCACAGACTTTCCTGCCTACTCTGACTTCAAACTGAAATCCTCATATCTCAGCCTCCTGCGTAGCTGGGATTACACCAGTGCCTGGCTTTCTCGTCCACTTTTTATGCCCATTGTGGTTATCCTAATTGCAGAGTCTCTCTGTCTCTCTGTCTCTCTCTTTGTCTCTCTCTGTCTCTGTCTCTCTCTCTCTTCTCTCACATCATCATTGTTTTTCATGAGAATGTCTTGCTCACACATTTTTAAACACTCATTTTTTACCCCTTACTCTCATTTCTTCATTCATAATATGTTTAGATTAGCAATTTCAGTACCACTCTGTAGGGGAAGTTCATGGACTCTCTTATTTATGAAGTAGTCCTGTTCCAAGGAGTGGGCTGTAAATCTGTCTTCTGCAGTGTGACTCTGTCTTAGCCAGATGTGAAGAATATATTCTTAGCTACTTTCCAGAGAGTGAATTCTCAGAAATCTTACTTGTAATTTTCTGGTGATGGACAATAACTTTCGCAATGTCAGATGTTGAAGGATCCTAAGAAGCACTTTGTATTGGAAAAAAATAATCTTCAAACTCAGTATTTCTATTCATTTTAGTTACTTGCTCTCTACCTCTGTTATACTGCTGGAATGTTTCCACTTCCATAGAGATTGTGATTATGCATCCAAATTTCCAATTTCCTTTTCTGTTCCCTTGGCATGTGTTTAGTATAGATATGCTACACTGCTGATTCATGCATGTGCTTATATAATCATACATGAATTCACTCAATAAATATGTGTAGCATAATCAGTGGAAGAACTTCAGAGATTACATACATTTTTCATGAATTTGTGAATTAGAAATGTTTATTTAAAATAGTAACAGGAATTATCTTATTTTTCTCGCGTGTATAAATTGGGCTTGAACTCAGCCTAGGTAGTGTTCCTTAGCTTTTTCACTCAGGGCTGGCAATCTACCATTTGATCCACAACTTCACTTCTAGCTTTTTGTTGGTTTATTGGAAATAGTCTTATAAACTTTCCTGCCTGGGCCGGCTTCAAACTACTATTCTCAGATCTCAGCTTTCTGAGTATCAAGGATTATAGATGTGAGGCACTAGTTCCTGTCCTTTACCTTACTTTCTAACTGCAACTATTTTTCCTTATTTAATAGTAGCCATTTTAAATATGATTTTAGAAGTGATTCTTCAGATATTTTAACATTTATTTCTTAACTGGCCAAATATCATTAAATAATTTTAAGTTGATAACATGAGGATATATTTTCTATACAATGGCATATTGAAGAATAGTAGCTCCCTTGCTCCCTTCATTCAAATCAACATGCATTTATATCTGTATTATTTTGCGCAAGATCCTATTTTTTTCCTGTACTGGGGTTTGAACTTAGAACCTCATGTTAGGGCTCCGTCAGTTTTTTCCGAGTTTTTTTTTTTTTTTTGGTCAACCATGGGGCTTGAACTCAGGGCCTAAGCCCTGCCCCTGAGCCCTTTTTGCTCAAGGCTAGTGATCTACCACTTTGAGGCACAGCACCACTTCCTCAGCTTTGTCCTGATTATTTTTGAAATCGTTTCTCAGACTTTTCTGCCTAGGCTGGCTTTGAATCATAATCCTCCATATTATAGCCTCCTGAGTAGCTAATATTACAGACATGAGCCTGAAGTATCATACCTGGACACTCTTTTGTTTTGGTGGGCTGTCTAGTTAAAAACTGCTTTACCTCCCAACCTAGACAATCAAAAATGTCCCTGGACATTGCCAGATGTCTCTTGGGCTGATATGCAAAATCATTGCTATTTGAGAACCACCAATAACCTCAGTAAGTTCCAAAATGATCATTTTTGTGTCAGTGGGACTTTCAAAGTCTTGTTCATTTCTTGGAGCTTCACATTGTGGCCTCTAATCTGCATACTCAATCTTGCCAATGGTCTTATTAATAGATGTCTCCAACTAAATATTTCCAAATGACAACTTATGAGTTATGCTCTTATAAAGTCTTCCATGGAGGCTTTTTTCCTACCCAGTAATCCAGTCAACCCTCTCATTTTTTCGCTGACCCTAACAGCCAGTCTAAGTGCATGTTCTGTCTATTTTTCCATAAGATTTCCTGAATCCATTCACCTCTAAGCATCTCCACTACCCAAATTTAAGACAACTGCTTTTCTCATATATATGATGAAAACAATGTGTTTTTGCTTTAATCACAAAGATTTTATGAATAAAATGTGTAAGATAATCCTTAGCAATTAACTGAAGGTTTTTATTTGATTAGTTTTACATAGACTAGGGAGGGTCACTCCATTGACATGTTTGGTGGCTGTACGATCTTGGGCTAT